CCCCATTTTACCCATGAGGAAAATGTGGATCAGAGAAGATAAGTAACTTAGCAAAGGTCATACAGTGACAGAAGTAGGGTTTGAAGCCATGCTTTTGATTCCAGGACCTGAGCTCTAGAGCAACACTTTTTAAGAGTGATTTGTTTGATAGATAAGAAAAGAAATTGAGAGTAAGTTTGGAAGCTTATGGGAGCTGGACATGGCCATGACACTCAAGTGCAGGAGTGATGGCCTTATTTCACAGAATACAGGCCAGTACGGGTAATGTAGAAGTCTCTGGTAAGTTGCATGTGGTGAAGGCTGTTTTCTTCATGCAAGTAGGACCACACATTGTCTATGACTCAGAGGCAATGGAAATCGCTGATTGTCACCACAGATGATATGAGTGGCAATGCTCTGGATCACTGCATTCACTATGTGCTGGTGGGCCTGCCTGTCAGCTGCAGCAGACCAGGGAGATACGTGTGATTAATCAAAACGGTACCTGTTTACACTGAGTATGTGAGGCCTGGGGTGAGGGTCTGTGCATTGCCCATGGCAACTGGTTTGTGCCTTGTACACAGGATATACTCAGTATGAGCCTCCTGTTCCAGTGAATGAGTGCCCTGATGGGTGAATGAACGAATATGTTTCTGACAGGACAATTTGATTATCTTACGCAAAGCCCAGGTCTGGGCAAAATTTCACTTCCAGCTTTTCCTGCTGTCTGCATTTCTAGCTCCTCTGTGCTCCCCCTTTCTAGTCTCTGCCTAAGCTCTTAAATGCAAGCCCTCCTTTTCCTGTGAGTGGTGCGCTGTTCTGGGCTTCTTACCGCCCTTTCCCCACCAACTTCCCAGTTCTGAGTCTCTTCCAGGGGGACCCCCCCCTTCAGTTGGCTGCCCCTGGGGAGTAGGGGTCCATCCCCAACAGAGATAAAACAGAGCACAGGCAAGTGGGGATGGTCTATATTGAGTCTGAAAGAGTCAGCAGCTTTCTAAAAACATGGCACTTAGTGCTGGTATAGACACCAGAGGCCAGCATTAGTATATGCTGCTGGTGAGGGCAGCTAGAAACGTGGTATGTTGCTAGAAAGCAGGCTGGAGATATGTATCAAGAATTAAAAGAATGTATACCTTTAACTTAAAATTAAGCTCTAGACATTTGTCTGAAAGAATCAGGGATGTAGCAAAATCTTTTGTACAGAGATATTTAACATAGCCTCATTTACACGGTGAAACAGGAAATTCAAACTAAATGGAAATGATTAAATCCATTCTGACTCAGGCATGATGAAATATTATGAAGCCATTAAAGTTATGTTTTTGAATTGTTTTTAATGATTTGAGAAGATGCTTATTAGCTATCACAAATGAAAAAAGGAAGGGTTTAAATTTTTAAATAAAAGTAATGTATGTAGAAGCCCAAGAATACTGGAGTGGGTAGCCTATCGTTTCTCAAGTGGATCTTCCCAACCCAGGAATTGAATCGGGGTCTCCTTCACTGAAGGTGGATTCTTTACCAACTAAGCTATGAAGGAAGCCCATAATTATATGAATTATATAAAATATATATGTGCATGTAAAAATACTCTTCACCTGTCCAGGTGATAGGATTTAAGTGGTTTTATCCTTTTTGGTATTTTCTATAATGAGCACAGATTACTTTTATGATCAGAAATAAACATAGGAAACATTGTTTTAAGTCTTTTCTGGTTTTGCAGACAGTCAATCCCTCACTGCAGTCCTGCTCTGATGTAGGACACTGCTGGAGAAAGTGCCCCTGCATTTGCCTCGGGTGGAAGTCTTGTTAGCTTGTTTTCTGGTCCTGGCTTTGCCACTAACCGGCTGTGGGACCATGGACAAGTAATTTATAAAATAAAGTACTGGATTAGATGATTTAAGGCTTAGATTCTGATTCTGTGATTTTAATAAACTTACTGGGTCAAGGTATTCATCAAGAATAAGGCGCCATGATTTCTCCTTTTTTTAAAAAAAAATTTATCCTTTTCTACTGTAAGTATCTTAAATGGAATTCTTTTTAAAAAATATTTATCGGCTGTGCTGGGTCTTCACTGCTGTGCAGGCTTCTCTCTAGATTGCAGTGAGTGGGGCCTATTCTTCACTGCAGTGTGCAGCTTCTCAATTTGGTGGCTTTTCCAGTTGCAGAGCATGGGCTCTAAGTGTGCAGGCTTCAGTAGCTGAGGCACGTGGGCTCAGCAGTTGTGGTTTCTGGGCTCTAGAGCACAGACTCAGTAGTTGTGGTGCATGGGCTTAATTGCTCCGTGGCAGGTGGGGTCTTCTGGGACCAGGTATCAAACCTATGTCTCCTGCATTGGCAGGTGGATTCTTTACCACCTAGCCACCAGGAAAGACCTTAAATGGAATTCTTAGCTATAGCCAAAGGAGTGAATCTCTAATGGTGGAATTTTGCATCAGATTGTGAATTACCTCCACCCAAATACTGACCTTAGAGCTGTCTACAGCTTCCGAACATTCCAAACACATTCCAAACCTTAGCTGGCCCTTCTAAGAGAGTCAGGGTCCCTTCCACATCAGCCTCTGGACCTGAGAGGGAAATGAAAGGTCCTTGGAACAATAAGACAAGTTCCTTTGTCCTGAGTTTCCTTCCCTTTCCTGCTTCCTTCCCCTAGTCTCAGTTGCTTGCCACTATATGTCTGCTTCCTCTGTCTCCATCCTCTTGCCTGTGGTTGAGTCTGGTTTATGTCACTGTGGTTCTTTGGTAGACTGGTGGCTTAGCCACCACAGCCAGGGGAGGAAGGGGTGTGACTCAGGCTCTGGGTCCAGTGAGTCAGACTTGGGGTGGGCTGGACCAGGGGCTTTTCTAGCACAAGAAGTAGGCTCTAAGTATGCAGAGGCCTTAACTCCCTCCTAGCAGGGACACCGTCAGGAGAAAGAACCAATCCTTCCCCCTTTCCCATTTCTGTGAACTCATTCAGGAAACCCTCTTGCCAAAGAAAATGCCATCCTTCTAAGACTCAGAATGCTGTGTCTGGGTAAAGCCAAAACAACCTCTGTGCCAACTCGCTGCCCCCCCAGCATCTGAGAGGAAGAAGGAGAATAACAGACCAAAGTTAGAGCCAAAAGGGCTTCCCTCATAACTCAGTTGGTAAAGAATCCATCTGCAATGCAGAAGACCCCGGTTCAATTCCTGGGTTGGGAAGATCCCCTGGAGAAGGGGAAGGCTACCCACTCCAGTATTCTGTCCTGGAGAATTCCATAGATGGTATAGTCCAGGGGATCGCAAAGAGTCAGACATGACTGAGTGACATTCACTTTCACTTTCAGAGCCAAAAAGAATAAGAATTTCCCATTCCAATCTCTCATGTCCTGGGTTTGAGTCCAACAAATTTTCACAGCTCAGATTATTCTTTCCTCCTCTTCCCAGCTCTTGACGTGAGAAACAAGTGCATTCACACTGTCCTGGGGTTAAAATCCAAGCTTGTGTGATCTTGGGTAAGTTATTTAACTGCTTCAAGTTTCATTTTCCTTGGCTGGAAAGAATGGGATAATAAACTCACCTTATGGTGTGCTGTACATTAATTAGAACCCAGTGGTGTTGGAGAAGACTCTTGAGAGTCCCTTGGACAGCAAAAAGATCCAACCAGTCCATCCTAAAGGAAATCAGTCCTGAATGTTCATTGGAAGGACTGATGCTGAAGCTGAAACTCCAATACTTTGGCCACCTGATGCAAAGAACTGACTCATTGGAAAAGACCCTGATGCTGGGAAAGACTGAAGGCCGGAGGAGAAGGGGACGACAGAGGATGAGATGGTTGGATGGCATCACCGACTCAATGGACATGAGTTTGAGTAAGCTCTGGGAGTTGGTGATGAACAGGGAAGCCTGGTGTCCTGTAGTCCATGGGGTCACGAAGAGGCGGACACGACTGAGCGACTCAACTGAACCTAATACAGGTCTGGCTTCAGAAGGTGCGGAATTGATGTTCATTCTGAAATGGAATGAAAGCCCCTTTCATTTTGTACTCCTCTGAGATCCGAAAGTCAGTCTGTACAGAGTGTTGAAGGGGGCCATTTCTAGGGCAGGAGCTCCCACTGTGCTTTAGGGGTGGGCTCCCGGCTGGTTTTGAAAGGCACCCAGGGGCACCTTCTCCCAATCTAGAGCTTTCTCTTCCCTTTTAGGCATCTGGGGCCTTTTCCTGTCCTGATGAACAGTCCTAATAGGGCCCTTCATGCTGAGGGGCAAACAATGGATAAACGGACAGTGTCCTAAGGTGGAGTTCAGTATTATGGATGCTTCCCTCTGTTTTTGACACTTTGTTAAACATGGATTTATTTTTGGCCTAATTTTTTATTTAAAAAATTTCAAAAACAACATATTTTAGAATGTTGCATTAAAATATTATTTATCTAGATTACTGGGTTCCCTGGCTCTCCCTTAAATTTTGCCCCTAAATCATGGAAAGTTCAGTTCCAGCCTTTTTGGCAGAAAGGGGTATTGTGGGGCCAGACGGCCCCTGCAGATGGTGCTTGCTTCCTTAAACCCGTGACCTCGCTAATGGGAACATTTCTCTGCGCCCACCAGAGGCTAGGATCAAGTTCCCAACCTGGAGCACCTCATCCACTCTCCCACTCCCTATTTCCATAGAGCTCAGATGACCCCAGATTCTTGAAATCCTTTCCGTTCAGCTTGATTCCCTAAGTATTACTCAAGAGCAATGTACTGGGTGCCAGGCAGGCACCTGGTTAAGGCTGGGAGTGGCGGCAGATGGGCAGAGAAGGAAGGGTAAGAGGCGCCCAGCGCGCAGGGGGCACGTGGATGGAGGGAGCCGGGCCGGGAGTCAAACCTGAAGACTAACCACGGACCTCAGGGCACTTTCGGCAGGGGAAGCACGTTAGAAATCCTGACCTGGACGGACTTCCTGCCCGGGAGGCCCCGCGGCCTCGGGCTCTGGGCGCGGGCCAGGGGGCGGCGCCGCACCGAGTCGGAGGCGCTTCCTGGGCGCCGAGGGAGCGGAGGAGCGGGCAGCGCGGGACGGCGCCATGGAGGACGGCGTGCTCAAGGAGGGCTTCCTCGTCAAGAGGGTGAGCGCGCCCGAGCCTCTCCAGACACGGCTCGGGGCGGGTGCGCGGCGGCCGCCGGCTCACCTGAGCCGCGATCCGCCGGGCTGGGGCCCCTCTGGGCGGATCCGCGTGTCGTGGACAGAGCCCGGTGGGCGGTGGCTGGGGATGAGCTTTACCTAGAAAAGAGGGGCTGGGGGTACGGGCAAGGAGGAGAATCCCGCTCTCCTAGCGCGTGTGGGGTGCGGGCAGGCGGCTACCTTTTAGAGGACAGCATCTTTAAAACAACTTACTAATATACGAGGCGTCTAGGATTTAACTATGATGTCTTAAAACAACAGAAGGGTGTTCTGTAGTCCCCCACGCTCGTCCGATTAATGCATCATCTCCTGTATTCTTCACAATAACCTGTGAGCAAGGAGAAAGCCTTCGTTTCTTAAGCCTCTGCTGTGCACCAGTCCTGGACGCTGGCTCTCTTAATCCTCCCAACAGTCCGGCAGGTCGATGGTTCCATCTTGCCGCCCTTTCTGCAAGGGGAAAAGGAAGTTCAAAGAGGCTAAGTAGCTTGCTCAGGATCTGGACCAGTGGGTGATGGAGCAGGATCGAAGCCACTGAGGCTGCCCACTGCAGGGTGGGTATTGTTATCCCTCTATCGCTGATGAGGAAACCGACGGGCAGAAAGATGAGGCCCTTGCCCAGAGCCCCGTGTGGTTGGTTGAGTCCTTGGGTAGAGAACCCTGGATAGGGAGGGCCAGCTGTAAAGTTACATGTGAATTTTCAGCAGCTCAGGGATCTTGGCCCTGAATCCCCTGTTGTTCAGAGGCCAGTTGTATTGTTTCTTTTCACAAATCCGGAGTTTTATTTTCCAAGCCTTCCATCCAGTCACTTGTCACTTCTGTGTGGTGTTCAGCCTTTCAAAATTCTATAGTTTTTACTGATCATGTTGAAAATATTTGGGGACAACTGGTTCCCTTATGAGTATTAATATTATATAAATGGAACAGTAGACACTGAAGTACTTTAGATCCTTCCGTTTCAGTTGTGGTTGAATCTATCATGGTATTGTTGTTGCTGTTTAGTCACTAAGTTGTGTCCGACTCTTTTGCAACCCCGTGGACTGAAGCCCACCGGGAACCTCTGTCCATGGGATTTACCAGGCAAGAATACTAGAATAGGTTGCCATATCCTACTCCAAGGGATCTTCCTGACCCAGGGATCAAACCTGCATCTCCTGCATTGGCAGGTGGATTCTTTACCATGGAGCCACCAGGGAAACCCTGAATCTATCATTTATAGCAAATAAATAAGTATAATTTGTTTTTTCCTTCACTTTGGTAAGCATAAAAAGTTTTAGCCATTCCAGAAAGGAGAGGGGCGAAGATACCCACTAACATAAATTCAAGCAGACTCTGACCAGTCTCCATCCTCACTCCTTCCACGTCACCACTAGCGGCTTTTCCCATAGCAAGCAAGAGTCCAGACGAAAACCAGGCATATGGGACCAAGGTAGCAAATGAAGGAAAAAGCAGCTTCAGAGGGAAATTTGATTTTTAAAAGTCCTTTTAACATTGATGTTCACACTGAACATTTATGCTAAACTAACAGCAGAGCATAAAATCTGGGGATGAGTCTTCCGGCTCGTGTACTGAGTTTCCAGCTTTGGCAGGGGGATGGGTGAAGAGAGGTGAAGGGACTCTCCCTCCCCTGGCCTTCCCTGGCCAGCAGATCAACCCTGAGGTCCCAAGTCGCTTTCAGGTCAGCAGGGAACATAGTCATGATATTTTACACATTATTTGACATAGGAGGTTGGGTGTGTTGTTTGCTCAAAACTGTGAGCCAGAGGAGGTGCAGAAGGCTGTGCTGGTTCAAGGGTCAGACTGGACACAGGCAGGTACAGAATTCCCCGCCTGCTTTGTGTCTCTGGGATTAAAGGGATAGACTAGTCCTTCCGGGTTTGTGGAGGTGGCCACACCTCAGAGAAAGCACCTTTGGGGAACTTTTCCTGTGGCTTCTAAGGTGAGGGAGAGGGGCGGGGATTTTGGTGGGCATTGTTGGTTGTCAGGGGCTTTCCTACCAAGGCCCCTGTCCCTTCTTTCCCTCATGTTAGAAGCTGCAGGAGAAGTTCCATGAAGGTGTTGGTTGTTAGAATAACTGAGCCTGGGTCGGCACCTGTTGAAGACAAACTCTCTGAGATGGGCCCCTGTGGGCACTCCCCCTGTTCCTGGGGCTTGCTTTACATGATATCCCACCACCACCACCACCATGCAGTCAGGGGAGCGGTGAAGGGAGGGGAGGATGTGAGTTCTCTTCCAGACAGGCCAGTCTAGGGTGGCTGCTTCGGGAGTCGGGAGTCCGAGATACAGAGAAGGGAGGACAGTCAACTTGTCTGACCCCAAAAGCCCACTGACGGGCTAGACTGAAATCCCTAAAGCGCTGTCCAGCCAAACCCAAAGACAAGCATTTGGAGCTGGAGCCTGACCCGGAGGCAAGCGGAAGCCACACCCTTTCCTGCAAAGTGAGGAATGGGGCCCCTTGCCCCTGCCAACTGTCCCTCCCTCCTGATCACTTTCCCGCTTCCCCCATTTCCCCTCTCCTCCTGGATGGCGGCCCCTGTGTCCACCGGGGAAGTTGCAGGACTGTGACTGTGGGATTCCACAGGTTCAAGAGGGTTTACGGTCCTGAAGTGGGGTGGGGCCCAAGCTGGTAACCCAGAGTACAGAACAGTCATCACGGGTGAGGGCGAAGCAGGAGACAGGCAGGGGCAAGATGGATTTGATTCTTAATCCAGCCCAGACAAGAAAGACGGTGAAGCTCCAGGCAAAAATGCAGGGTGCTTACTTGGCCTGGTGTTAAAGCAGGGTGCCCGGGAAGGAGGGCAGGTCTGCGTGGGTAGGGCTGCTTGTCCTTCAAGAAGCGGCTGGAGCACATCGGGCATGGTTGCCTGGCTCATACCTCCTACCACTCTCAGAAAGTGACATGGCCGTATCAACATGCTGTAACCTAGATCTTTCATCTGTAGGACTCAATCTGTAGGAAAGGCCATAAAAGCTTTAGGAATGGGACTTCCCTGGTGGCCCAGTGGTGAAGAATCTGCCTTCCAATGCAGGGGATGTGGGTTTGATCCCTCATTGGGGAACTAAGACCCCACATGTCATGGAACAACGAAGACCCGCCGCAACCAAAAATAAATAAATAATACTTTTTTTTAAAAAAAGGCTTTAGGAACAAAGTGTTATTTAGATAGAGAATAAAATCTGGAAACTACCCACAAGTCCCTTCAAATAAACAAATGATTACAAGTGAATTATGGTTATGCATAGGGCGTCCCTGGTGGTGCTAGTGGTAAAGAACCCGCCTGCCAATGCAGGAGATGTAAGAGACATGGGTTTGATCCCTGGGTCAGGAAGATCCGCTGGAGGAGGCTGTGGCAACCCACTCCAGTATTCTTGCCTGGAGAATTCCATGGACAGAGGAGCCTTGATGTGCTACAGTCCATAGCAAAAGAGTCAGACATGACCGAAGCGACTTTAGCATAGCACATGGTCATGCAGATGTTAAAAATGTTTTTCATATTATAGTCCAAAGAATAAAAATATAAATGGTATGAGAAAGGAAAAAAAAATTGCTTGGATGAAAAAAAGACTAGAAGGAGTTCCGAAGGCTAGAAGTCTGATGGGAAGTGTGGGCAGGGCCCTGCTCCCTCTGAAGCCTGCAGGGGAGCGCCCTTCCTTGCCTCTTTTGTTTCTGGTATTTGCAGGCTGTAAAGGAAAAACCGATTTTTCCTTCCTAGGTAAGGAAAACCCTAGTTCTTACCTGCTGTGTGTTTCTCTATCCTGTGACTCTCATTTACTTTCACACAGAATACTTCACTTCTAACTCTTCTGGGCACCACATGTGTGGAGGTTTCCCCCCACACCAAGCAATTCTCTGTGCCCACCGGTGTATGTCCTGAAGTTTAACTCAGTTCTGACGCATCTACCCAGAGGCAGCCTCAGGTCCCACGGGTTAAGATCTCAGTCTCACAAGGCTGCTTCCCCAACCTTCTCCCACCCGCCACACACACACTTCAGACACCAGGCCGAAACCCAAGTTGTCACCTGTGCTCTGACTGTGTAGCCAACCACAGATCAGAGGTTCCAGTGACCTTCTGCTTGGGATGAAATTCTAGAAACTTTTCAAATCCCATGCTTCTGGGATTTTATAGAGGCATCATCATGTAAGCATGATAGATTGTTAATGCCACTTTCAGCCCTTTTCTTTTCTCAAGAGAAGGGGGGCGCAGTGGGGCTGAAAATTCCAAGCTTCTAATCATGGCTTGGTCTTTCCAGTGGCCAGCCGTCACCCAGGAGCCCACCCAGAATTGCCTCATTAGCACAAAAGATGCTCCTGTCACCCAAGACACTTCAAGGGGTTTAGGGGCTCTCTACCAAGAACTGGGGGCAAAGAAAAATATGTATTTTCTGTCATCTCACACAGGAAATGGCAATCCACTCCAGTATTCTTGCCTGGAGAATCCCATGGACAGAGGAGCTTGGCGGGCTACAGTCTGTGGGTTGCAGAGAGTTGGACACGACTGAGCACGCACGCACGCATGCATTATCTCATGCAGGCACTCCTCTGTGTTCCTTGGTTTGTAGGTGCTTCACTCTAATCTCTGCCTCCATCATCATGTGACCGTCTTCTCCCCGCGTGTCTTTCAGTGTCCCCAAATTTTCTCTTCATGTAAGGACACCAATCATATAAATGTTTTCAGGGCCATCCTAATCTAGTATGGGGCTCCCCTGGTGGCTCAGCTGGTATTCAAATTGCCAACATCTGTTAGATCATAGAAAAAGCAAGAGAGTTCCAGAAAAACATCTGTTTTATTGACTATGCCAAAGCCTTTGACTGTGTGGATCACAACAAACTGTGGAAAATTCTTCAAGAGATGGGAATACAAGACCGCCTTACCTGCCTCCTGAGAAATCGGATTGCAGGTCAAGAAGCAACAGAACCTGACATGGAATAACAGACTAGTTCCAGTT